AACCCCGTTTCCACCTCTTTCAAAATACTGGCACCACAGTGCTAAAAAGATGTGATGAAGTCCCACTGGGTTGGGCAGAGGTCTGCTTTGGCTGAGGTATTAAGAATCTCACCTCTAGCAAAAGAGCTCCCTAGAGCAGCAGTTAAGGTAACTGAGCATTTCATCTGTAATAAAGCAAGAGAACTGTTTTTTCATCAGGTGAATCTCCTATTCCATCAGTTTCCTCGGGATCATCTTCGCCCCTTTCAGCTGCTTCTGCACCTTCCACCCTGGGCCAACCAAAATCAGGGAGCACCACACAAGACCGAAAGGTGCCACCACCAATTGGAACAGAGAGACTTGCCCGGATCAGACAAGGAGGTTCTGTCACCCCCACCCCCTTGGGAACCAACTTCACCGCTCCGGTTGGACACAGCGGCATCTGGTCCTTCGGCGTGAACAATGTCTCAGGTGAGAGGACACCTAAGGGAAGCAGAACGATACCCGGAGATACGCAGAGGGAAGGCTGGACAGGTGCTCGCAGGAGGGACTTGTGAAGGTGATGCCATGGGTGGGCATTTCCTTTGGCACTTCCCTGCAAAAATTCCAGCACGGCTGTTTCTTCCCCCGCTTACTAAAATTATTGATCCAATGCCCCTTTTACTGATCGACATTTTGGGGTGCTCCAAGTCATGCTTGCTTTCCCCATGTCTGAGTTGAGTCACCACATGAAAATGTGGAAGGAAATGGGCCATCTGTGCAGCCTGAGTTTTGTTCTGCAGAGGCCTGTGATCCTGGGAGTTGATTCAGTTCTAATCAAAAGCTCACCTTAGGTTATCCCAACCTCTGTCACTAGATGTGACGGAATAGCATGTACATTGTCCCATGCCCTCCTTAGTAAATCGCTCCCATTGTTAAATTGTTCCTAAGAGCCAGGAAGTTTTTTCTGATGTCTGGCCAGAAACTGGCTTCCTGTAACTTGAGTCCAGTATTCTCTGTCCTGATATCTGGGATGGCCGAGAAGAAATCTGTGGCAACCTTTCAAGTACATCAAGACTCTTTCCTGCCCAAATAAAACCTTAGAGGCTTTTTGTTTGGCTCCGATATCCTTCAGCTCCACTGCACAGAGAAGACGTGTCTGTGCACAGGAAAAGACGCTGCATGTTTGCTCTCACCTGCCTCCTGCTCCTGCTTCTAAGACCGTTTCTGCTGTTTCAAGGATTAATTATTAGTGAGATTAGTTTAGGACTTGGTTCGCTCATAAAATCTGTTAAAATGCATTTTAAAGTACAGTTAATTCAATAACCACAAACTTATTTAATTTACTTGTACAAGTTTTAAAATGTAATGTTCTGAATAAACCAAGTTAAGTATAATTTTAGGAACGTCAGGCTGCTTTCTGATTCTGAAGCCGCCTTTCCCAGCCTGTGCTTTCCAGACGTTTTGCTCTGCAGGCCTAGCAGTGGTGGCCGCTGTCCCTGCTCCCTGCTGCTGGTTGGAAGTCCAAAATAACTGGAAGGCACCAAGTTGCGGAAGGCTGTTCTAAAGTTATCTTGCTGCTTTAGAACTGTAAAGGGCACTGAAGAGTGCTGCTTATTTTTCAGTTTTCCCCCCACAAGAAAGGGAGGGGGGAGAAGTTTTCTCTGGCTTGAAAAGTTCCAAAAGTTTTGCATCTCTGCTTCCTTCTCTGTTTTGTGCCGGGCTTGAGGCAAAGCGGGGGGGGGGGGGGGGGTCCACGTGGCGATAGGATAGTTTTGTAGAAGAGCACGTGCTTTGCAGGTTCGCTTTCTGGCATCTCCAGTGCAAAGGCACCAGAGAGCTCAAACTTGAACAGGCCAATTTGTAGAGATCTTGGAGAGACCTGAGAATCGCTTCTTGAATTTTGCTATTAAAAACTGCCAGCACCTTTGGAAAGCAGTTGGTTTGGAGCTGAATGGGATGAGCAGACCTGCAAGGACACGAAACAGCAACACTTCTAGTGCTCTGGGAAACAGAGAGGTGAAACTCTTAAGCATCTGTGACAGGAAGTTCCGATTTTCCTCATCAGGTCCTTAAACGAGCCCTTTGTTGTCTTTCTAGAAGGCTTGTCAGGTTGGTCCCAGCCTGTAATGGGGAATCATCCAGTACATCAGCAGCTGTCTGATCCCGGCACCTTTTCGCAACATCAGCCAATGGAGAGAGATGATTCGGGGATAGTGGCTCCCTCAAACATTTTCCAGCAGCCCATGCCGAACAGCTTTGTGGATTTCTCTAAAGTACGCTTTCAGGATTTTCTCTCTCATGTGCCCTTGCTCATTCATTGGAACACCTTGTGCCCAGATCCCATGTAGCTGTAAGAATGTAAACCAGATTTACCACAATGAGAGCTTTTCACTGAAGGTGAAGGTGAAGCTGCCAGTCTTGTTTTGGGAACATGGGAGACCTCTCAGCTTGCTGGCAATTCCGCCAGAGCTGCATAACCGACATCCTGACTTTTAAACCATTTCCCCCCTCTGGATGCTCATGACCAGTCATTGGGAAATAATATTCCAGATTTCTTTTCATGTTTATTGGTCCATTTGCAGCTCAATTCAGTTTAAAAGACCAATCATGCAGCCAATCACTGTTGAAAATCTAGAATAATGTGTTTAGTCTGGAATATGAGCTCTTGCAAAACTAGTGCAGTTGCTACAAGCTTATGGAAATATATTATTAAAAAAAGAAGGGAACTTAATTGTAGACAAAGCAATAGGAACATTAAGTTGGATGGGGAATTTAGGTACTACACTGTCCAGTTGGATGGGATATTCACAAGCTTTAAAAATGTTATTGTTACCTTATAAAGGAAGCCAAGCGGGCCAATATCTATAAAAGGCACCTGTGTTCCAGATAAGCATATATTGTGCTTTAAAATTATGATAAATGTAGAGATGCTAAAGACGCTTATTTATAAACTATCCTGCAGGTTGCATTCTTTGCTGTTCTAGCTATGAACTAATTAATATCCCTTTTCTGTTTTAGGGCTTACCCATTTCCATGTACGGAGGCACTATAATACCTTCTCATCCACAGCTGGCTGACGGACCAGGCGGCCCTCTCTTCAACGGGCTGCATACTCCAGATCCAGCCTGGAATCCCATGATAAAGGTTGTCCAAAATTCAACAGAATGTACCGACGCTCAGCAGGTGCAGTAATTACCCTGTTCTTCTTCTGTTCAGGCCTCATATTTCTTTAATACAGTCAAAGACTTAGATGAATGCAACAAGCTTCTAGTGTTTCCAACTTCATGTTAATTGTGTCTTTTAAAGATATTTAAATAATATTCTCTGAATAAGGTGAAAGCCAGAACTTTCTAACTTTGTTGCTCAGGTTAGGCTTCTGAATAAGTGAGCAGAAAGGGCAAGGAGAACAGCAAATGAATGCTGGTGGCATCTGTCTTGATAGCAGGTTATTTGTGTATTAGAACAAGGTCTTTAAAACTTAGTCACTTGATGTTGGAGCTAAACTTTGGGGTGTTGGCATTGCACCCTAAAATTAACTTCCTGTCTTGTGATGTTTCTTCCATTGTAGATTTGGCCTGGTACCTGGGCACCTCACATTGGAAACATGCACCTCAAATACGTCAACTGATTTAGGAGGGCCTTCTTTTCTTTCTTTCTTTCTTTTTTTTAGCCTTGTTTGGAGAAACCTTGGAAGAACTTGGGAATTTTTTTAATGTGCCTAACTAAGCAACTGTTTTCTGTGGGATGTAACAAGAGAAACTTGTTTTCCCGTTGTGTAAGAACAAAATGAGTTATCTATTCAACTGATTCTGTTCTCCAGTTAGTTTAGCCATTTTGAACTCAAAATCGGATGAAACTAGTGCTTTTGGCTAAACACTACTGAATGCTACTTGTATGCAGCAGAGAACTAGATGATTACATGATTTCAACCTTTTAGGGTGGTAAATACATGTATAATTGTTTACATACTTAAAAGGAAAAACGTTGAGTAAATTTCATGTCGTATAGTGGCTCTACTTTATGTAGCCTGTATTAATGTGAAATATTTACCTGAATATTCAATAAAAAGATGAACATTACAGGCTTTGTGCATTATTCTTCACGATCTACTGGGAAGTTGCGGCCAAATGGGTGGGCCCAGTGGCTGTCCATCCCTTAGGTCCAAGCAGGGTTGGGGCGAGCCCTTTTGGAACCCCCCCTCGAGCATCCGTGCGCTTCCTCTCATGCACCCTGCAAAGGGAGCTGAGCCAAGCAGCCCGCGAATGCTCACAAGCCCCCATTGCACAGCTGGCGTCCTTCCCAGTGACTGCCCCCTTCCCCGCAGCTGCCAGTGGTGACAGGCACGGCAGTGGGGCACAGCTTGTGCGGCATGGGGGGGGGGCGGGGGGTCCGTTCCTGGCAAGCATCCCACTAATGCTGGGCACTCTTCTGGAACTGAGAAGTGCAGCAGGGTCCAGGGAGCCGAGCCCTGGGAATCCAGTGGGTTCCTATCCCCAAGCACACCACATTCCTTTCACAGTCCTAGTGTTAAGTAAGAGCAGTTGGAACTTCATTGTGAAGGTGCTGCTACTGTTTGACTCTGGCATTTAATGTATCCTCAAGTTTCAAGAAATGCCCCTCGATTCAGGACTGTTCCTGGTACTATTGACTTGGTCTGGCCTGTGCTTAAGTCCAGTGAAGCGCCAAGGTAGCTGATCAGCAGCGTGTCTAAAGGGGTGGGCTTGTTTCACCAGTAGGTGCTCGAAATCTGATGTTTTTTTCTGTGTACCACTTAATGCTCTCGGCAAAAGGTGCAGTTCAGATGGATAAAATACAAATAAGAAAGAGGGGACAGGCAACGAGTCACTGGCTGTCCAGGATGGCTTTATTTCGGCTTTCCCTTAACCTTCTGGATGTGTTGGGTCTATGAACTCTCAGGCATGACACAGGATTTTAGTTGTGTGAAATGTTGTCACCGGATAACCTGCACACAGCACATCCATGTGGCACAGACTGAGAGAATATGTCCTCATTTCAAAACAAGACACAGGACCGGTGCATGCTTTCCAATCCAGTTTTTATTACTGGTGCAGTAGCACCATAAAATATTTCTTAATGTATACATTGCAGGGTTTTTTTTTTCCAAAAAAAGGTTATAATTTGACTTGACTCTTGATTTTTAAAAAGTACAGTGAAAGTGATGTACTGGTTACAAATAAATAAGAACAGAAATAAGAGAGCCAGTGTGTTGGAGTGGTCAGAAGGTTTGGGTCGACCTTGGGACATCTGGGTTCTAATTCCCACTTGGCCATGAAACCCATGAGGCCATTCTGAGATAGTCACTGATTCTCAGCCTAACCTACCTCACAGGGTTGTTGTGAGGATAAAATGAAGAGGGGGAAAGGCCATGCAAGCCACCCTGGCTTCCTGGAAGGAAAAGGTAGGCTGTCTGTTTAATAAAGGACTGAACGAACGGGCTCGGCCCTGCCTGCATGAAGGTTCGATGCCCTGCAGCTGCCCTTGGAAAGGCGGGAAGTTCGGATAAATGTTCAGGCATGCGATTATTAGTTCTTCCATCTAGTCCGAAACAGCTGAGCCACTGTGGACCTGAAGACAAAGGATGGCTGGGGAAGACGATTTGCATGGTTGCGGCGTTCAAGTTGCGCCACGTAATGCATGGGGCATGGAAAGGCTGGCAGGAAGGTCACTGCTTATTTTGTATATCCGAATGCTTTCAATTGGATTGTCGCAAACTTTAGGGCTTGCGTTTCATTTCTGTCTAACCTGTTTAATTTTTTCCTTTTTTCCCGTTTGTGGGTGTAGACACACAAACCTCACACGTTTCATGCATCCATGCAAGCTTAAACCTTTAAGGCATCACAAAAACCTCAGTCTAGTGAGTAAAACTGCTTTTTATCTGAAAAGGTTATAAAGGCAAAACGGAGCCCCAAATTTCAATTGCGTTAAACATCTCCAGAAACGGCACACGTGAGGAAAGGCATCCTGGAACAAGGTGAAGGCCGGGCCTCCACGCTCACTCAGTATTAAGGTCTCGGCAGGAACGGAATGGTGGATAAATCGACCAAACTGCTAACAGGTATTTGCAGTTCCGAAAGCAGAAATATAATGCTGCCTCCCCAGAGCCAAGGACTTTCGTTTGAAAAATGCTGTCCAATGCAAAAAAAAGGGGGGGGGGCAGACAATTAAATTTTGCCTTGGACTAGTTGGAAAATAACTTTCTCATATTTTGCCATTTTTGGAAGATCTGTGGATTTTTTTAAAAAAAATGCCAAGTTTTTAGTACTGTCTGGGTATTCATTTATTTCACGTTTTTGTACTGAGCATTTGCTTGTGCTGCACTTAATCTCGTGTAGACTTCATTTTGTGTAGGAAAAAGTGCAAATCAAATACAAGTGATGATCTAACACACAGTTTGTATTTTTTCTATTCAGATGTGCTATCTGTGTTGGAAAAAGTTACTCCTGTGAAGGCCATGCTCAGCTGAAACATTCAGGTGGAAGAACTGGAGTTACAAGAGGACAAGCCTGGAGAACCTCCATAGGACCGTCCACATCCTTGGGCCATCCATGAACCCCAGTAAAAATACAGTCATAGGTATTCAGAGAAACTTGAAGTTTGCATAAGCTTCAGGCCGACGTGGGAACATAATTTAACTTTGCCTGGAATGCGAAAGTCCTTGGGTCCAAACTCCACCATCCCTAGAAATGTTCAGACTTGTTTAGCACAGATATCTCTACTTCATCTCTAAGCCTGATGGAACCAGATGAGGAAAGAAGCCACAGAACAACTTCCTGAGAATACAGGCAAAACCCTTTGCAGCAGCTTGACCAGCTGAAGAAAGATTGATGTTATTCGGAAAGAGGAAGGGAGCAACACTCTTATTTCAAGATGATGCTACTGATGCCCCATTCTCCTTGCATTCCGTAGATACGCAGACGCTAATACTTCATTCCAGAAATACAGAATTTGCTAAGACGAATCACATCTGAAAAGCTTAACAACTCGAGACTAACACAATATGAGGGTAACACTGTTGTCACATCCCTACTGAAGATCCAGGCATGGTAGACTTGGTCTCTACATAAAATAGCAGCTTAACACCTACCAACAACAGTATTGCAGACACAACTACCCCAGCTGCTGCTGCTGGTCAGGTCAGGTCAGTTCAGCAAAGCAGACACTAAAGTTGGGGGGTGTTTTTGATTACTGTGCTTGGAAGAGGATGGAGGAGGTCTGAAGGAGGAAGCCAAGTAATTTCCTTTCAGGGTTTCTTGGTCCGTTTAAAAAAGCCCAGAACCTCCTTTCCAGTGTGTTGTTAGCACCTATGCTAGATCAGTAAGAAAAGTGCCAGTGGATTAGATCAGGAATGTGTGAATTGTGGTTTTCTAGATATTCTGGCATTTAGTGTGCATCCTCTCTCTCCATTGGCTATGCTGGCTAGGACCAGTGAGAGCTGAAGGGCACGAACAGCCCGCCCATGCCGTGCACCTGACTGTCAAGGAGGAGGGAATATTGCTCGCTGCAAATTTAATGAAAAGAAGTGCCATTTTTCCAGAAATGCTGCACAAACGGAATCCTGCACCGACCAAAATGAGGTCTCTAGGCCTACAACTCCTGGGATTCCTGACCATTGATGGGGCAAGTCGAAATCCTAAAAACCCATCCAGTCTCGGCATAAAGAACAACAAATATGAAAGAACAGATGTTTCCAATGGACCTGGTTCTTCTCAGGACACGGGTCTCATGGCAAGCAAGGGGGACTTGTAGGTATCTTCAGTGGAATTTTTTTGCGCCATCAAATGGGCAATACACCAGGTGAGCTATGAGGCTGACCCTGGAGCACCTACTCCTGTTTTGGAAGGGAGAGCTGAAGCCAATCCATTTGAAAATTCCCAGCTTGCCTATGTATCAGTTCATGTCCTCCATTACCTCACATTCTTACTGACTTCCAAGCAACGCTTTTGCAGGCCTGCTCCTTTTCAGGGTGATTAACCCACACAAGACTGTTTAGAGAACAAGAAAATAGCCACATAACATTAAAAATGAGATTCTTAAAAGCAAACCCAGAGAGTCTTTGTGGCCAAGCAGGAATTTCAGAGGAAAGCTCACAATGTCTGGATACTGGCTCTAGTAAAAACATCTTATTTCTCTTTCCACCCAACAATTACAAACTTATGCCAACTTTCCTAAAGACCTGGATGCCTGGAACAGTGTCTGCCCCTAATATATTTTATCTCATTGAGGAGATCACACTGAAAATTGGAAAAACATTTGGAAATAGTCCCCAACCATCTTCCTTTAATGGATCATACAAGCAGAGGCTTGTAGGTAGCTCAAGGGGGAGAGCAGAGAATGAAGTTTTATAATGCAATCTATCTATGTCCCTTCAGCCGCACACCTCTCAATGGGGCTTAGCAGATACGCGGCCTTCAGAGGTTGAGGGAGAAATGTGGCGTATTGGCGTTGGCGGCATTCGCAGGGAGTCTGGGGCACCCCGCTTTCGCAGACGATGGCAAACCGCTCGTGCCTGCTGACACGAAAGAAAGCTGCACAGAAAGCCCCCCGCTGCGCACCCTCGTCTTTGGCAACATAATATTTATTACAAATGTTATCTCACAATGTGTGATCAAAATTGTATTTAAAAGTTAGGAAGTGCAAAATGCTATGAGCAGCACATACATCGAACCCACATTTGTATCCTACATGCTGATAACTGCAGTGGAAGCTTTCCGACAGGGCGGATTTGGGATGTAACGGTGAGACACTGGAAGCGGTGCTTCATCCTAGACAAGATTAAGTATTTAGATTTCAAATACTGCTTCACCCAGCGTCCGTTATCAGGTAAGAGCGGGGTGACGCGGTTGCAGTTAGGAGGTCTGTCTATCTCTCACACGGCAGGGTCTAACGTTGCGTTTCAGCAGATGAAGGCACAGCTATTGGTGCTCAACTGCAGCAGGTTGCCAATTTGGGGACAAGGACATTGCCGCCACAGCAGTGCTGCTTCTATGAAAATGCAGGCCTTACCCCTCAAAGCCAAAGGGTGAAGGATGGTCAACCCTACTTGCCTTGGACTGCTTCAGAAACAGATAACAACTTGGGTCATTTCCTCCAAAATCAGTAACAACCTGGATCCTTTTCAGAGCCAACCGCTCACCCGCTGACCAAAGCCTCGTTTCTTCCCATCCAGCTCCAAACCCTCCCTCTTCAAAAGCACTTGCCCATCTGGGGCAGCTGGGCTGGCGGGACTGCAGAGGCAGAGAAGAGAGACACGCTCTCTTTTCTTGCTGCTTCTCCCCCAAACTCTGCAAGGGCAGAAACCCTCGGATACATCAAGCATCAGCCCAGCACTATCGGTCATTTTCCTCTTCATATTCATAGCAATCCTGCAGAGCTGCAGGGGGGTCGGTCATACACCCAGGACAGGGGAACACTTGTGAACGGGATGGTGGGTTGAGGGGTGGGGTCTGGATGGGCAGAAAGAAGGGGGCAGCTGAGGCCTCTTCTCCAGCAGAGTTTTGCCACACATGGAGAAATCATCAGCATCCGTAATCCATCAAATAATTTCTCATCCTACTCCCTGTCCAGCTGGATTCTAAGCTACTAAGCAGCATGTTACATTTATGTTCTACATGTTTTTCGGGGACATGCAAGTAGGCATGTCTAGAGTTAAAACTGAGTTGCTGCGGTTTCAAATACTGCCCGTCCCCGACAGCCAGGTGAAGATACAAACAGGAAAGTTACTGAACCGTTATCCAAGCACTTATGTTAGTAAATGTGAGAGAGCGCAAGTAACTGCCACTCCGATCTGTGGCATGCGGAATTGTCCTATGAATTCTGCCAGGTTACGACTTGGAGTACCCAAATATGCAGATGGGAAAGTGCTTGACGTGGGAAGACCACTGCGCTGCTAGCTGGAAGAACTTCACGTCGTTCCACTCCACGCCGTCAATGAGCACTGCAAGGGGAGAGGAGCACAGGAGGGGGTTACGGCGGGTCGCCCCGAGAGCCAGCTGCAGCCCCTTGTTTGAGTGAACCCGCTCCGGCAGTTTCCACTTGGTGCTTGGCTCTGCAAAGCGGCCCAAGCATCTTGTGCAGGTCCTCCCCTACAGCACCGCGTGCGCACTCTGATCAGACGGGACTTGTCATTTTCCGTGTGCCAAAGAGGCCCTTTGGCACTTAGGTGGCAGCCAATTAATGCTGAGAGAAGAGCGCAAGAACCGCCGGACTTGGCGATCCACGGAAAACACGGCTGGGAAGTGGAGAGCTGAGTGAGCGGAAGCACTAAACGGAACACGTGTGTGTGAATCACACTTTTCTTCTGCCAGTTCCCAGGAGGAATCGCAGGGCATCCCTGTAAATGTTTCCCAGATTCAGAGTTCGTAGAATGGAGGTAAGAAGCCCATTTTCTATGGTGCCTGAAAGAGCTGCGCCCTGTCGAGGGGGGATCCTGTCCCAGGGTATCCTGGCTCAGGTCCCCAGCCTTTTCAGGACAGGTGACATTCACCTGGGAGAAGGCAAGGACGCCTGGCTGCAGGACATCTGGGCCCCCTGAGGGCTGCTGCGGCTCTCACGGGCGTTGTGGTGCTCAGCTCCTTGAGCGTCCGACCTCTTCTTGCATGTGGCTGGTAGGCAGGAGCCCCGTCAGGATCTGACCGGGGTGCCCCGGGGACCATGGACACGGTCCAGCTCGCTTCTGCCAGCTGGCTCAGCGCTGTCCTAGGCGGCCAACTGCAGTGCCCACCTGCTTCTTGGCAGACGGTTCTCTTGCAGAACAGCTGTCAGATTCCCTGCAGTTCTTGGCTCCTGCCCGAACCCTCAGCCCGTGTCCTCTCCACATATGCACAAGCCTTTATTTTTTGTAACAGATTCTGTGTGTGTGTGGAACTGCCTGTAAGACCAGAGTGCAGTCATCTGAAGGTGGCTTTTGAACAGCCCCCTTCCAGGGATTTAAGATTTGGCTACACACTCTGTGGAGGCTGAGCGAGCCGGAGCAAAAGCGCAATACCCACACGCAGGAGGGGGCTTCAGCGGCATCAGCTGGTGGGAGCTAGAAGTGAGGGGTAAAGGGGGCAGGGCAACGCCTCAAACGAGGACTGCACTCGCTCGGAGCACTCAGAGCGCCGACCGACTCCCGGGGAAATGGCAAGCCGGGACAGGTTTGCCAACGACACCCGTGATCCTCGGGATCAGAGGGAGACAGAGGCCTTACCCCGCAGCATATTCTGCTGGTGCTTCGCGGTGCAAATCAGCCGGTTGATCCCTTCGATGCACTGGCTCTTGGAATCAAACTCCTTGTCTCTTGCTTTCTTCGGCAGAAACATCACTGGAAGCAATCAGGAAGGCGTTTAAATGCAGTTGCGCAATCTTTCTGGGTGCTCTTTGCTGAGCTGGGTCTAAATATTGGCGCGAGGTACCCCCTTTCAGCTACATGATACCTCAGGGGTCTTCCAATGGTCTGGCTGGTAGCGCTGTCCAGGGTGACTGCCCTGGGAAGGGGTAGGAAGCTGCCTGATGCTGCGGGGGAGACTGGCCCATCTGGATTAGCACTGTAAACACTGACTGGCAGCTGCAACTTCCCCAGGTTTCAAGATTTTTCCTAGTCGACCTGGGGATTCTGGGAATTGGATTTCTGCGTGCAAAGCAGGCAAGTCGCGGCTCCTCCCCTGCCAATTCACCAAATGTCAGTTTGCAAAACAGCCGTGGTACCAAAGGCCTAAAGACTAAAGAAGCTAAGGACAGGTAACTTGTCCAAGAACTGTTACCTGTTGGACAGGTGCAAAAGCAAGAGGAAGCACCTTCCGCAGGTGCTTACTAAGGAAAGTATCTTATTTCAGGAAGAACACCTGACCTGACCTGCCTCCTTCCAGAAATCTGGAATTCCTGCTTCTTTTGGGTTATTCCGAGCGTGGAATGCCTGGGGGCAGAAAGGAGCGGGTGGGCGCAGAAGGGCCGCTTTGGATTCTGCCCCATACAGAGGCAAGCGCCCGCCAAACGCTCGGGTCCCACTGGGGTCCCTCAGTATTGGAAAGCTGGTGGGGCCTGAACATCTGCTCCACCAGCCCCAACAGTCTCCCCCTCCGCACCTTTTTTGTTCTTTTCCTTTGTCACAACTGTCATGGACATGGTCGGTGTGGAAGCAGCTTCGCCACTTGGAGGCAGCCGGCTGACTTGGAGAGACCGGAAAGTGCATTTCAGTGTGTTTTTGGCGGCACTGAGTTCCTTCTTCTCAGAGTCTCTCTTCTTATCCATGGGATGAGCTCCAATCCAGTAATCCACCTGGAGGCCCATCAGTTCCATGCCAAGGCTGTGCCAGAAAGAGAGAGATAGAGAAAGCTCTCCCTGACACCTTGTGGCAGGCACAGAGAGTGTAAATCGTGTCAGAACCTCCGCTTTAGCCCTACAATCTCTCATCTTACTGTGCAATAACAGAGCATGTATCAGAAAACAGTATCACGTGAAACTCAACTGATGACTTGTGTTTCGAGGGTGTTGAAGAGTTTTGGGAAAGAGGCATTTTCTCTCCGAGGATGTTGCATGTCTTGCAGGGCATGAGCAAGGTTTTGGACCTCTTCAGAGGCGGCTACGACATGCCACCGAAGCCAGCCCTGGAGCCCAACCCGGCGTGCCAGAATCCTGCCAGTTTCTCCAGAGCGACTGGGTGGAAAGATTTCGGGACTCTTCCCTCCACTCTACTGTTTGCCCATTCGCACCCCCCAGGATAGGGGCCCTTTTGTCACGGAGCAACACGAGGCCAGACAGAGCTGGGGAGCAAGGCGGAGGCATGGCCGGGATGCCAGTGGGGTCCCAGTGCCCGCACCCCCTCTGCACAGCCTTGTGTGTCTGAGGTGTGTCAAGATGCCCAGCACGCAGCCTGGGGAAGGGGAGGGTGTCCCCAGGGCTGCCCTTGCTCGCCGCAGTCCTCATCCGGGAGCCAAGGAACCAGCCAGGGATGGCAAAGGACCCTCCCTCGCTTCAGCCTTCCTGGGCCATGGCTCTCAGCGGGGCCGGGACGGCACCCCCTGCGCTTCTTCCACAGAGGTCCTGCACCCCAAGCTCCCTCAGAAGATGCCTGCGCCTGCCCACTCACTTTGTCAACAGGTGAGCTGCTCCTTCCTGCCCCCCCCCCGTGCCCCCTCCCGCTACGGTGCGAGCATGGAGCGGGGCTGCTCCGAGTGGGCCCTGCCGGACCCCCCGCAGCTGCTGGGGGGTGTCCTCAGAGAGCCTGTGGAGGATGCTGGCAGGGTGGGAGGGCTTACCTGGAGGAAGCAAAGCTGCTCGTCACGGAGGGCGAGGAAGGTGGGGTGGGGGACGTTTCCTTCACGACAGGAGACACAGAAGGGGGAGTGGAGGAAAGGACGCTCGCACTACAGGGGGCCGCATCATCCGAGTCACCTTGAAAAGAGCGATTTAACCAGTTGGTCTGCAGTCCACTGACTGCTCACAGCACCGGCTGCGCCCCACACAACAGGTCTGGGCCTTCGGGTCCCATTTCCTAGGTGCAGGACTTGGCACTTGTCCCTACGGCATTTCATTCAACTCTCCCACCTGTCAGGATCACCTTGGATTTTGTTTCTGTCTTCCAGGATACGAATGATCCACCCACTTTTGTGTCATCCGCAAGTGTCATTGGCATTCCTTGCACCTCTTTGTCCATGTCAAGAATCAAATCATTGAACGGCACCAGGCCCAGGACCTACAGCACCTTACAGTACCCCTCCTGTTAATTCTCTCCCGTTTGTGAAAGTACCGTTAAGAAGCATTCTTTGAGTCTGTTTCTGTAGCCAGCTACTGATCCACCCGACAGCGGTTTCCTCCAGCCCACTTCAAAAGTTTCCGTGTCCCAGGATAGCCTCGGCTCATTCCCAGCTCTGGCCTTCCTGGCAAAACTCCAGCTCTCCTGTGACACCTGTCCGTACTCTTCATGTCGCCTGGCCACCTTTCCATTTGCTATACATTTCCTTTTCTTGTTTTTTGATCAACTTCAAACTTTCTGTGCAGTTGCACTGGTTTCTTCCACCATCTGCTCTCCATTGTTTTTGCTGGAACTGCCTGCAAGTGTGCCTTGAACCTTTCCTTTTAAAAAACATTCCCACCCGCCTCGAACCTCCCTTTCCCTTAGGGCCACTGGCCACAGGACTTTACTTGTAATCACTGGCCTGAGCTTATAAAATCGGCTTTCCCAAAATCCAGAGGATGTGTGCACTGAGTACATGCTCAGTTTTTGCTTTCTTTAAAATCAAGAACTCACATGTTGTCCTCTCTTTCCCCAAGAGCTCCCACAACTTCCAATTTATCCAGTATCCCCATTAGCCACAAGATTGTCAGTCCTCTAGTTTCTTCCTCCACTTTCTGCAGAAAAGGGGTACCAGCCATGCATGTCATTTCAGGTCAGAGATGCAGCAGCCACGTCCTGGCCGCTTCCGTGACAAGAGACGTAAATTAGGCCAAGCCTGTTTCTCCCCGAGAAAGGCCCAGTGCTCCCTCTGCCTTCCAGTTACAAACACGGCTCATTGTTAGCGCTTGCATGTTAAAGAAACATTTGCGTCAACTTCCTCTAATTCCCGCAAAAGAGGGGGGCATAGAGAACTTTTTGGATTTTGTGATAGTTCAAAGGTCTGTGTCTAAATACTTTCTGTAGGTTTGACTGCCTGGGCGTCTCTAAACATGTGGATCTCCAACTACACCCGGGAGAGGACCTATTTTCCAATCATGCTGCGTTTCAGGCCTGGAGGAATGTTGTCCATGGGGTCGCAATGGGTCGGACACGACTTCGCAACTAACAGCAACAACAACAACAGCATGGGCTCCTGATGCCTATTATTGAGAAATTATAAGATGGCTGAAAGGTCGTGTTACCTGAAGTCGCAGAGGACTGATCCACTATGCCAACCTTCACCACCTGCAGCGAGAAAGAAGATTTGACACAGGATTACTAGTTCTGCTTAGGAAAGTTGAGCTGAACCAGGCGGTGGTTTCTACACTCTTTGAAAAGCAACTCACTTTTTTATTTTTATTCTTTTGGGGGTGCGAAGGGCAGAAAAATACTGAGGGAGGACATGTGCTGTGGGAGCCAGACTACACCTTGCCGGCTTCCCTGCATGTGCTGTGGCCGAAGGGTGATGGTCCTGACGTGTTTCAGTTCGTATCTTCCACGGGCTCTCAGTGGGAGAAGGAACTGAATCCTTAGTCCATTCTGTTTACATGCATTCTGGTGCAGCCCTGTGTGGGTTTTCCGTTTCCAAGTAAAAGCAACATGGCATTTTCCCGCTCAGGGACACGTGACGTGGCAAAAAGGGTTAGCTCCGTACAGATGGCGGACATAATCCCAATTACATGAACCGCACAGGACGGGAGTGATCGTGCGAGCTGGCCCAATGTGCCAGCGCCGTTCGGTAGAGGAACTGGAATAGCATTCAGAGCACGGAACTGGGACGGAGAGACCCCGACGCAAATCTCCAGTCACTGAGACTCACTCAGCACCAGTCACTGTCTGAATAAGGTGCAACCCACCGTCACAGGGTTGTCGTCGTCATCAGGGCTGCCAGGGACTCGCTTGAAACAGCCATTTCGTCTGTTCCACTGGCTCCTTCCCTCCACACCCTTACCCCTCCAGCTGAGCACTGCAACAATGGCGAGCACGGGTGCCCAGGTTTTGCCTGCCTCCCTCGCCTGTTTCCCTTTTGTGCTGCATCACGTACGCCAGCGGGCTCATTTTATTGAACGTGATTCTGCTTCACAAGTGGGGCTGAAAGGTTTTAAACAAAAAGGAATGGGTGGAAAGAGCTTTGGAGCACCTCAAAGAAAGGAGGAGGGATGTGTGACAAAACATGGTCTGTGTATTTGCCTGGATTTCTGTGCTGGCAATGCGAAGAACTCAACACGGCGGGCAGCTCGCGGCACAGACTGGGAGAACACAGAGGTCAGGTAAGGCTTTTCTAGGGAAAATAGTCTGCAGAACATGGGGGTTATATTGCTCAGCCTGTAGCTACTTTCCCAGGGACTTGATTATAGGTTTTAATCAGTGCTCAAATGACTAGGGAAGCCTACAAGTCCCCTTCCTGCCTGGCCCATAGCAACTGCGGTTGCTGCCACCGTTTCTACACGCCCTGTGGGACACTAGACTCTGTTTTATGTGATTTGATCTAGGGAGGGGAGTGAAGGGAATTATAGAACAGGTTAAATGGGGGGGGTTGCTTTTCTTTAATTTTCAATAAAGGAAACTTACAAAGAGAGAGAGAAAAACACCATTACATTTATACCCTGCTTTCTCCTGCAAGGAACTCAAAGTGGCTTACAAGTTCTTCGCTCCATGTGATCCTGCAAAGGAGGTCAAGCTGAGCCCTGTGCCTGGCCCAATGCCACCCGGCGAGCTCTGTGGCCGTGGGGGCCCCGAAAACCCAGAGCTCCCGGACACCCGGCCCAGCACTCCCAACGGCTGCGCCACATGGGCTCTCGGTGAGAAGGGGGTCCCCCTGAGTGCAATGGGGACATCAGGACTGCAGCCTGATTTCGCTTTGACAATTGGCAGTACACCAAGCAACAGTGAGCAAGGCGCCAGTTTGACCTCCTCTTCCGTGACGGTGCTGATCCTCTTCTAACTCAGGAACAGGGGTTAATGGTAACGCTCTTTCTTTGTGTTAGGGTACCGTTGCATGCCCATTCGTACACAAGAATGGTTACTCACACCAACAAAGGGGATGAACTTCTGTGCCGATTCTTCATCTGGGCTAAAAGAGTGAAGAGTCATAGTGAGTTTGAAGGCTGGAGGCCAGTGATTCTCTGAATATATCAAGCATGCAGGACAAGGAAAAATACGCAAGCTTGGACGTCTTCATACTACCTGGACGTTTTTCTGTCACAAACCATGCAGGACGGGAATGAGTGGGCGCCCCTGGAGGCACACACCCACGCGCACGCACGCACACGTGGGCATGCCCTGCCTTCGACCCTGGCGTCCCTAGCACATGTCTGGACACAGCGGAAATGACACACATGGCTTCCCACCTCCATGGCTGCAGGTCACTTACAAGGAGGCTTGGTGGTTTTTGCCTGCAATGCCTGATCAAAACCAATCACCCTGCTAAAGTAAGAGCCAAGCTGTGGACCATGAAGTATCTGAGAACGAAGGGACCGACAGCAGGTGTTGATCTTGATGCACTTCTGGGACAAATCTAATTCTGGAGAGAGCACAGAAAGACCCGACATACAGGGGAAGGAGCTGCAAACCCATTACGTTCCACTAACTCAACATGTCACACAACAGAACTGCACATTTTCCCAAGGGATCTGAAAGTAAAATCACTGTGAGATATGTTTATAAGGACCAGCTCTTGGTGAGCAAGCTTCTGAGTTGCACAGAACCCTTCTTCAGACTAGGCGTAACAAAGGGGGATTCGTTTTTGGAAAATCTCCACATTCGTGTTTAACGGAAACTCTCCACGGTCTGCCGTCGGTAGGTCTGCGGCTGTTGAAAAAGAACTCAAGGAACCAGCAGATGCTTGCTTCCAGACAGAGCCCGCTGGCAGAGCTTCCTTCTACAAAGTCACGTTCCTTTGTGCACAAACCGATGCCAACGTGAGCATTTCAGTTCTCCATTGCGTGAGCTGCCCTGAGAGGCTTTGGCTGAGAAGCGCAGCATGTAAGTGCCGCAAATAAAGACGTGTATTTAACAGAAAATAAACCCCACTGTAATCCCGATAGCCTGTCATGCACTGCTCACCGGCCCCCCGTGGCTCACTGCCAAGGCACGTTAGGTTGTCGTGATGTGCAAACCATCCTTTAGGCTGGCTGGGCACAAGCGACCAGAAACGGCTTCCTGGTAAGTAATGGGAAGCAGGAGCGAAGGACTGAAACAGGCCTACTCCGGTTTGAGAGCGGACTCCCGAGACTTTGGGCAGGGGTCTTTGCTCCCCCTTTTTCCTGGAACTTCTGCTAACAGGGACTGGAAACAAAACAGGTGCCGCTCCCTAACGTCAGCCATCAATTTAACCAAGTGGATTTAGGCTACTGCATTTTAGCTCAACAACTGGACGCAACAATAGAAGTAGAAGATTTGAACATGCTTGCCGTTGCTTCAAACTAACCAGAACCTTCCATTATGTACAATAGAGCAATTCTGTCTCGAAAGTATCCGTCTTTGCCACTGCTTGGAGAAGAAACTGTCCCACAGCCCTTTTTCTGCAACTTCCGTCATCTTACAAGAGCAAAGGTGCAGAAGGGTTTGTGAACATAGAGCTACTGGGATTTTTAAGGAGTCAGACAGGAAGCGCAACCTACCTCCTCCTTAATGCCAGGTATCATTTATTAGAACAAATTTTTTAAGCTTCCGGATTTTTTTACACCTGCACAAGTACACGATTCCCTATTCTGCCGTAAGCAAAATGTAGCAGGCCGGTATTGCAAGCAGGAAGAGTTCAGTCCATAGCTGAACACTGAATTGCACCTGGGGCTTTTTAGCCTTTTTGCTCTTACGTTCATATGCCAAGCAAGGTTCCAAGCAACGCTAGTCTACAGTTGTTTATCTAAATAGGGAAAGCGTGGTCTTTCCATCCCCATGAAGATGAGCATATTTTAAGAGATTACGCTCCATTTCAGTGGGATTTGGAACAGAATTGACAGCCAAGGAGAGCTGTGCACCTTTTAAGAGGAGATTAAGATTCTGCAGGAAATTGTCTTTCCCAAGCACAGACTCCGACACGAGTAGCTTACTTCCCACGTGCCTCACAAGCAAAGCATGCATCCCTTTTTTTGTTTTGTTTTGGGTTTTGGCTTTGCATCATTATCTTGGAAACGGTCAGGAAACCATTTGGAAAATTGCTCTCACACACGGGAGTTTTGAGGAGTTCTAAATGAGTCCCTCTACTCCAAATTCTCAGGTTACCAGAGTTTGACACCAGGAGGCAAACGACAGTCGTGAAGTTTCCCACACACGCGATACATTTATGAAAGCTCACGTCGTTCGGAAACTTTTGCACCGTAAGGAGGAGAACCGTCTCCAAGTGTCAAAGGAAAAGGTCAAAGCCAGGCTCCGGCGCTAGGAGGTAAGCTCACTTGAGGCAGAATGCAGCGTTCTTTGGGATTACCTCCATCTTTCTTTGAAATTGCTCCATCAGTCTTCCTGCTGATCGTATAAAAGGGCGTGCGTAGTCTAACAATGCGAACATGTGCATCGAGTATTCAGTTCTGCAGAATTTTAATGCAAAGCTATCCAAATACTGGAGGTTTACCTGAATGCCTAAATCAGCCTTGGAAACAGACCGAACGCTCGGCTACATTTGGCACTACCGAGCGGCCCCTTTGGAGCACCCTGGGCTGGCATGGTGGATCTTTAAGAACGACCCAGACAAGTTGCATTTCTACCGAAAGCAATGAGGGTCAGACCTTAAAGGGAAGGGGGCTCTTCCTGAATACTGGGACACATGGTTGCTGGACTGCCATTCCCATCATCCCCTACCAATGGCTTTGCTGGCGAAGACAAATGGGACCCAGAGGGCCAAATGTTCCTCACCCCGCTCTGGGAACAGTGGATCAGCGGACGAGTGATATGCATTGCACGGTAGCTTAGACAGCGGCACCGCACAAGCAAAGAACCAAAAATGACATAGATCCACATATCAATTAGGTGCACACCAATTAAATCTCGTCAGTAAGATTAATGAAAGTTAAAATATATTCTTCGAATTCACAATTTTATGTGTCTGTAGAAACAAAACACTCTTTCCTACTGTGAAAGGCAGGGAGAAGTCAGGGGCCGGGCCACAGATAACCAGAAAGCCAGTTATCTAATAAAAACATATATAAAAGGTTTTAAAAACCTTGAAATATAATAATCACTAGAAAAAATCATTATTTAAATTATTAAAAATAAAACATATGACTGAAATAATAAGCACCATTTATAAAAATATATAACATCAAATTGCAGTATGTCTTTCACATTTCAGAAATTCCTTGGGATTTTACAGCAATGGGGTCTTTGCATCTCTCCCTGAATTCTATGGCTTCTCCTACACAAAGGGGTATTGCCTGCCCATGGCAAACGCCTGAGTCTGCTGCGTTTTGATGCCCGTGCTTCCCAGAGAAATCCCGCTTAATGTGGTCGATGTGGGACTAAAAGTGACTGTGTGGAGACCAAGAATCCCCTAATCTTAACCATGACTGCCGAGTTGTGGATTCAGTACTTTCAGTACTGGATATTTAGCCAATTGACTTCCCAATCGCCCCCTTCCCAGAACTCCTGAGTTTGCAGGCACCGCATTCTGCCTCCGGAGGTAAGCCCAAAAGACGCACATCAGTCAGCACACACAACGTCCCGGGAGCGAGCAGGACGTTAAGGGGCGAGTACCCAGAGAAGGAAAAGCAGGGAGCCACAGAATGTAAGGAAAATTGAGAGATGAATACCTGATATTAAAATCAAACTGAAAGTTCTTTTTCCTTTTCGGAAGCAACCAAAAGGGAAAACACAGTTATTACATGTACAGCTGCAACGTCAAGCAAACCTTAAGGTGGGATACTTGAATGATCCCGGAGGGGAAAAGGCCCGAGCAGCAAAACGCCCCTTCCCGCTGCTAGGACAGGGGCAGCAGGCCACGAGGCAGCAGCCCCGCCCCTTTGCGCATTCACCGTGAGGGCGGACACCGCGAGAGGAGGACTGGCAACAGAGGTCCCTCTCGTGCGGCTCCATCCCGCACTGCTGTCCTGCCAGGGTGACACGCATGGCGATGCTCAAGGAGCATGAGGTTCTGATACCCTGGGGATCGAGAAAGTGGCGCCCACCCCCTGGCAGGCAAGTCCTTGCTCCAAAGAAGCGAATTGCGCAATTTTTAGGGGACTGCCACTTCTTGAAGCGGAAGGGCACACGTCGCGATTTACACGCAATTTGCTTGCTCGAACTCTGACAACATGGCATGATGACAACGGGCGAAGGGGTGGGCTGGCCGGACTGGGCATGCCATTAATTGCACCATGTTGCCCTCCGTTTGAGATGTGAGACCTTGCGAATTGTCGAAATTGCAGACTCAATCTTTGCACAGCTCCTGGAAAGAGTTTGGACAAGGAATGGGATGCGGAGCCTTTGGCATCTGTTTCTTGGCACCATCCCACTGGAAAAAGTGGGAAGCACGAAGAGGAGGAAGCAGAAGTGTGTGTGTGTGTGTGTGGATGGATGGATGGATGGATGGATGGATGGATGGGAGATGACCAAGCCAGAAAGGAGTGGCTCCAATCCCACCTGCTTTGGCTCAGCCTATATGGTCCCAAGGGAAGAGGACCTTTGGAGAAAATGGTTTTCTCCCCGGGATTTAGACAGTCAAGCCATGTGACAAATGGCGGTGGAATTAACACTTGAAAATAATATGCCGTCAGAAGAAGTCGGAACAGTTTATCATCTGCCATTTGGGGACTCGACGTAGGGAAATTACATCAAGCAGCACTGCTTGGAAGCTGGCTGGCTCTAATGCTGAAATACTTTGGCCACCCAATGAGAAGGAAGGGCTCCCTGGAGAAGGCCCTGATGCTTGGAACAATTAAGGGCAAAAGAAGGAGGGGGCGGCAGAGGATGAGGTGGCTGGATGGAGTCACGGAAGCAGTTGGCGTGAGCTTGGGTGGACTCCGGCGGATGGTGGAGGACAGGAAGGCCTGGAGGAGTGTTGTCCACGGGGTCGCGATGGGTCGGACGCGACTTCGCAACTAACAACAACAATGCTGAAGGAGCAGGAGAGAACGGTGACTCAGTGGTTTCCCACAATGCCGAGAAAATTCAATTATTCCTAGCATATTTGAATGGCACACCCAGTATGACGTTTCCACAGCTTTCAGTTGACTAACACCGACTAATTCTTCAGAGCTATAAACCATCAAAGGTGTGCAGTCTTATTAGCAGAGCTTTCTCAGTGCTACTGAGTGACTAATTACATCTGTCTCACCACCACCACCGTGTCGGATCAGCATGAAAGTCCTCCGAAGAGATTTCAAACGTGTTCCTGAGCGACAAAGTTTCCCCACCATGAAGAACGCTCCCTCAGAGCAACGTACCTTTTTTGTTTGTACGTCAGCATTGCTTCCGCGATGGGTAACTGGTGTGAGCAGTTGGCTCCAACCATGTACTGGGTTATTCTGGAAACGATATCAGGAGATTCCTGAGCTGAAATGAAGCAGACAAGGAGAAGCGTTCCCTATGGGGCATTTGTGAGGAAGTGTAAAGAAAGAGATGCTTTGCAGGATCAGACCAGAGCCGAGGTGGTCCCACCACGCAGGACGGTCGGGAGCGCATCGTGCTGATGCACGAATGGGGCTACATGGGTCACCCCTTTCCACAGGTCTCCCCCCGCCCATTTCTGTTGTGCTTTTGCCCACTGGGCTTGGACTGAGCGGGCTGCAATTTCCTGCTTGCGTATGGACCAGAGCAACCTGACATGCGGAAGAACTGAGATGACTCTTAGGAAGCATGGTTAGAATCTAAAAGAAAAACTCAGCCAGCAAACACAAAGCACTTTATCTTCCAGAGAAGCTGAACGAAAATTGTGGTAGGAAGTGGGAATATGTAGAAGAATCAACAGAACCGTTATGCCCCCAGAGGCTGGCATGCACTGACAAAGGAAGCTTAGAGGAGAACAAAACAATTATTTTTGTTCAAAGATGGGCATTTGTTCAAAGCTCAGTTAATTCAATTAGCATGCAGCCTCACCACCGTCAGAATCGCTTACCAGCATTTTGTGCTTCGAGTTTGTTAAATAAATCTTTCCAGGATAAATCTTGGAAGTAGTTGTTGTACTGATAATCAACGGAGCCCAGATACTTGGCTACTGGATGGCAACCTACAAAGAACGCAAATATCAATCTGTCCATGATGACGAAGCTGTATCGATAATCGGAATAACCGGCGTCCCTTTGCTGGAGCTTGGTTTCCCTCTTCTCTTTCAAACAACAGGCAGCTCTTTGGCAAAAGCTCTTTATTTCCAATGCACATCCGTCAAGCTATAGCCAGCGAAGAAAGAGTCCCTGGGCATGTGCAGAGTGGTTCACTGAACCCAACCTAGCAACTATTTCGAGAACCCTCCTCCTGAGCAACCCGGGACCCATCACTGGGAGGGCCCTTCCCTTCCCTTCCCTTCCCTTCCCTTCCCTTCCCTTCCCTTCCCTTCCCTTCCCTTCCCTTCCCTTCTCTTCCCAAGCCCCGGCACGCGCGGCGAGAACAAGTGCCTCTTTCATTCCCAGCCCCCCCGGCCATCAACGCTTCCTCGCTGCCCGCCTTCAGGCGCCCTGAGATGCCCTTCGCACTGTGAAGGGTCCTTTCTCTCTGGAGCGAGGCCGGAGCGTTTGCGGAGACGCTGAGGGACGGCGGTGTCCGCTGGGACCAGCGCCAAGTGGCTGCTTCTGCTCACGTTCTCCAGGCCATCGGCCTCCAGGCTGCTGGAGGGCAGGGGCCGGTGGCACGGGCCGAAGGGCAAAGGCCAAGGGGCTCCGGCCGTGTGGCTCTTCCCCTGGACCAGCTCCTGGGGGTGCGACATGGGCTTTCCCCACCAGCAGTGCAGGGCTTTGATAGGGTTGGCTCCTCTCATAGTGCCTGGGAAAAGAGGCACTGTGGGAAGGGAGGACGTGGCCAAATGCGGGAATCCTGGGGGAGCCGGTGCAGAGGAGGGATGGGAAGAGGGGAATGGCTGGTTCCCACAAACTCCACCAGAGGAGTGATTCTCTGTGACGGCCCCCAGTCATGTAATGATCTCTCACGGATGCTCGATCTTGCAGCACTGGGGTCAACGCTCTGGAAACCCTCCAGCCAGCTCCTCTCGGGGAAAGCGCTCTGTGAGGAACTTCCTGGCAAGCTGGAGAGCGGCCTCTTAACTGGTCTGCGATTCCCTCACTCGGGCGCAAGGCACCTCAGGTTCCAGGCCCAAATCTGGCCCGGAAGGCTAAGGTCCCTTTCCACCGGCCCCAGAGAGGGTTCAGGTTAAAGCCTGAAAGAGGAATCGGCGTCACGTTCTGGACTTTAAAGGCTGCTCTCATCAAAGGTGGAATTCCTTAATTTTGCAGCAAAGCAGAACAGAATGGGCAGCTGCCATCGCGCTGCGGTGTCCACCGCGGAAGGAACGGGCTCGGGGAAGCAAGAGACTGCTAGTTTACCTAGTGGAATGATGAGGAACCTCATGTAGCTGAGCCAGTCCGGGGTCTTGTGAGACAGCTGCTGGACGAAGAGCCTCAGCACGGCACTGAGGTAACTCTGGGCTCCGGCGAGCGCGATCTTGATGGGATTGGGGGGCTGCGAATTGCAGTTGCAGCTGCACGAGAAAGAGAGAGCAAGCGCGGCTGAGACGCCTCTGCCACCGCCCCACGCTGCCCCGCAGCCGACGTGCCCTGGCTGGTTTAGAGCAGCGGATAAAAACAAAACCATAAAATATCAATCTCGTAACAACACAACACTACAGTGAATTTAAAATAGCTAAAATGCAGCATAAAACTAACCTACGAAAGGAAAAGAAAGGTAATAGAGTCACCGGTGGTCCCTGTGCAGGACCTGATAGGTTGAAAGCAGATAACGAAGTAGGCCGGGACTGGTCTTACGTGTTCGGAGCTGCGGGTCCCCGTTATTTATTTGGCTGCTGTATTGGGCATACGCTGCAGAAGGGAAGCTACAAGAAAGTGGCTTGCACTCAGCTGCCTATGGCCCAAGAGCATCGTTCAGTGTCTGGCCGGACGGAAAACGTCCCTCGGCTTCCAGCACAGAGTAAGGATTCTGCTAGCACCGCAGCAGCGTAAAACAAAACCCCAAACTTACTATCTCTGTATTCTGGAGACAATTGTGCTGAAAGCTGCTTGAATATCGGCCGAAGAGTATGTGCAGACTATTGGAAGGGCGTGCTTTTGCAAGACATCTGAAAGAAACTAAGACAGACATGCAACAATTTGTAATGCAATGATTATTTCCGTCTTCATCGTGGCTCCTCTTGGGATTACTTCGTAATTTTAGAATATAAAACTCCTCCTCGGAATATGTCAGTGATCAGAGATGTGTGGGTTTTGATTATTTGTATGCCTGGGATTATCGGACTGTCCAGTCTCTCTCTCCATGCCGCTCCCTCCACGGTGCAGCTGCATTTGGGGCATGAGGACGCTGCTTGTTTCCACATGTTGTTTGTGTTAATTGTGTTACATGCACAATGGCAGAAATCCACACCAGTGCCGGGGCACATTTGCAGGTTTCACTCCAAAATTTTAAAACAGCCACAAGTTTGCAGAATCCTAACAAATCAGATGAAGCCAGTTTGCTCCAAGGTGCTGAGGACTGCCAGGTTTCAAGGTTACGAGCTGCTCTGGAAGGGGAAAGAGGGTCATCTGGATGGAAGGGGGATGGGATGCAGTCCTTGACCAGTAAGGAGGCCATGGGAGAAGCAAGCTCTCCAGCCAGCAGGTCTCCAGTGCTCCCGCCATCTTGGCCTCAAGCACTGGGGGTCCCTCCAGAAGTTTCACTGAAGGGGAGGGACTGAGGAGAATTTCCACTTTGGATCCGATGCTTGCCATGGACTGGAGTGCAAAGGAATTGGCCCAAACTCAATGGCACATGTTTGCCTCTTGCATTTCAGAGAAATCACCCAAGGGTGGAATCCCTGCGTGCACCACTTGGAAAGATTTTCGGGTTCAGCCACTAGGGGATGGCCTCCTTACCTGTCCTTGCCAGTCGGAAGTATTCACTAAAATGATATTTTCTGGCAGCCGGTCATCCGAGATCAAAATGTGGTTCAGCTGATCATACACAGTTTTCCTCGGGATCTGCAAATACGAAACGTGAAAGGGCCGCTGGGGACGCCGCGCCCTGGGAGAGCCCGCATCGCCCAGGTGTCCAGCTGTGCTCCGTCTGAAGTGTTCCCTGCCCTGCCGGGGCTCTTCCCCGGCCTTCTCAGGTGAGGCACCGGTGAAGGGGGCCCTGGGGTGCTCTTGTGGCAGTGGCAGAGAGGAAGGGGTGGGAGCGGAGGCTGGGTGTGACGCGGCGGGGGCGGCTTGGGCCATTCCCTCCTGGGCTCCTGGTGGACAGCCCGTGGGCTGGCCCCTTCCTTCTGGAGGGGGCGGAGAGGCCTGGGGCAGGTGTCCCTGTGTGGCGGGTGCAGGGGAAGGGGGCTCCGCTTTGGCCCCACATGCCTCGGGGGTCTTTAGGCCTTTGGCCTGGCAGTCTTGTGCCCTGCATTCCCCCAACTCTGCTTCTGTTTATCCCCCTCCCCGTTTATCCCCCTCCCCTGGTGGTGAATGCGGGAACAGATAAAATCCACTTCCAGCACAACGTGGGAAGAGCAGCCGATGGCTTCCAGGACGGCCTCCCCCCCGCCTGAGTCTGCCTCCCCAGGGCACAGCTTTCAGGGACCCGACCTCCTAAAGACACCCCCATTTTAGGAAAGCTCCCAGAGGAAGGGGAAAGGACGGCAGGTTTCGGGGGGGAAAGCAGGGGGAGAAGGCGGCTCTCTAGAGATTTGGAGCTGGAGGGTCGGGTGGGCTGCCCACAGGACAGCCGCCCTCTTCCGTGCGTGTCCCCCTCCCCACTTTTTGCCCGCCTGAATGGCGTGAAGGCCTCTGCTGCCCACACGGAGGGGGACTAGAGGCAGCCGGCGGAGGGGCCGGTGCACCGCCCTCTCCCGCGCTCGCGAGCGCGCCGGGCCACGGCTGGCCACTTCGGCCCGCGGGAGATGCCCCTGGAGGAGCCTGCTTCTGTGCAGTGCCGGGGGTGACGGGGGGGCGCCTGCTCCCACCCCACCTGCAGGTGCTGCCTGGTGTCCGGCGAGCGCTCGTTGTCCAGGCTGTTGGCCCGCTCGTTCTGCTGCTTGGCGGGCTGCCTCTCCTTCAGCGAGGTGCTCCTGCCCCGGCGGCCGGCCTGCTTTCCCTCCGACCTGCTGGAAAGGGACATCTGCGTGGCAGCAACGGACGGGCGAGGGCGAGGCGGCAGGAGAGCGGCGGGGGCAAAGCCATCCGCCCCTCCCCGCGCTCCGGACATGCATCCCCACCCTTAGCGGTGGCTCGCGGTGGCTCCCAGTGGCCAGAACCCAGGAACCGGACAAGGCGCACACTGGGACTGCCTGCAAAGCATCTATTGCGCCTGGACTCAGGAAACTGCACCTGGTCCTCGCTCCTTCCCCGCGACGACGTGGACCGCGCGGCCCTCTCAGACCACCCACGTGCCTGCAAGAGTGCAGGAAGCGGTGCTGCTGGGAGCGCCTCGCGGGGAAGGTGGCTCCAGGGCGCAAGGCCGCTCCTCTCGGCAAGTGCCTGCTCTTGAGGGGGCCTCCAGAACCGGCTGCATGAAGCCACCTGCGACAGCCCCCCATTCAGTCGGTCAAGGAGCATTAGAATCGGAAGCGCTGCTGCTTTGTGGGGTCGAACGTAAAGGAAAACAACAGACTTGCATTGTTGATTTAACCTGGGCTACACGTGCCAGGACAATTTAAGGAACTGGCACAAATGAGAGGTTCCAATTAAATTAGCAATCGTTCCATGAATCTCAGTCCTGGAGGGAAAAAGAAGCCGACACACCTTAATTTGCAGCGGGTCAGTTAGTCATTTATCCAGGTGTGTTGTGCTCATTCCTTGGACTTGCTATGTTTTGTTCTTTTATACAGACTCGACACTTGCAACACTAATTCTCTATTACCACTTTTGTATTTTTACTTTTTAAAGCATTTAAAGGGAAAGGGTTTGTTAGGCCGCAAGACTGGGAACTGGTGCCTGTTGGGACTTTCCCTGAAATGGACTGGGAATGAAACTGCTGTGCAGAGAAGGATCACCTGCTGGAAGGGATGATGAGGGACTCCGTCTTCGTGATCCTGCCGCTGGGGGGAAGCTTCTCCATGAAGCTGTCCAAGGCAGAGGGCTGCTCTGTCTCTGGAGTGTCGTCTTGTTGCTGACTTTTCTGTAAAAAATTATTTTCTAAATTACATGAGATCAGATGCCTTGTGGAAAGGAGGTTGTTTTTATATTCTGTTGTATTCTATTTTTTTTTTTTAGCTGTGCCCTCCAAGAAAGGCAGGTGGGCTGCATGCCAGGGAATCCCCTTGTTGGTCCCTCGCCCATCATACTTGCTGGAAGAATATAAAAACCATGCTCCCCAGCCCATTCCTCCGGTCTCAGGGATGTGTCGTGACACTTCCATGCCCGTTTCCCCCACCTGGTTCCAGGAAATATCCCTCATGCTGCCCCCACGGCGGGAGGTTGCTGATTTCATATAAGGGGGTGCAGACCCTTTGGCAGGTGGGTCTGGGAGGCTCCCCCCACCTCTGGAGCTCCTTGAACGTCTCCGGTGCGCAGTGGCACCGCAACCTGGCCGTACCAAAACCCTCCAAAACAGCTCTGCATCGCTGCCTTGCAAGACCGGGCACCTGATGCTGGGACTGGGAATGGGGAAGGGAAGCATCAACTTGGGCTCTTGCTCATAGCCAGAAAGTACAAAAATGCAGTCGGACTCACAAAAGATGAGGTGTCAGAGACGGCATCTGCTGGTTGTTTGCTTTCAAGGTCCTTGTTCTTTTCAGGCACTTCTACCTGTTTGGGACAAGAGTCAGCAAATCAAGGAGTGAGGTGCACCTGGCCAGTTCTGACAGAAGCCCCGGAGGCCTGCTCCAGACAGCATCACGGCGGCATCGCAGGTACGCTCTGGCCGCAAAGCCCACCCTGAGCAGGTGTACCATGAGGTCTGCCGCACGAGGGTGTTCACGAGGCTTAAAAGATGGCAACTCCACTGGGATTCCCTCCACTACTGGGTGCTCTTTCTCGTGATTCCCAAGCCAAGGCGATTCGCAAGCACGGCTTACCGGGCTGGGCGGCTCTTTTTGGCTTCGGATGCTGTGGAGGCTTCCGATTTCCGTCTGAGAGCTTGAATGGGACAAGCCTTCAAAGTAAGGCCTGCGGGCAGAAGAGGGACAACACGGTGGCCGTTCGTTTCCCGGGAGTCCCAAAGTACAGCCAAGAGAAGCCTCCAGAAAATGCGTGCGTGAGAACCGAGACCGTGTCGGTCAGGGTGATGCTGGAGGAAAGTCCATGGAAGGACCTCGTTCCCAAGACCACCATTGCATCACTGTCGACTCAAAAGAAGAGCAGGGGGTCTGCTCGGAGTCAGATATTCTACGCAGCAATGTTCCCTGAGGGAAAATGAGGAAAAGAACTCCTTCTAGGACTCTTCCTCCTCCCACATCGGTGGCTTGTATCATTGGGTTAAAAGGCGTCACTGCAGCAGAGTTCTAAGCAGTGAAACGTTGTGTTAGATCTCCAGGAGAAAGACTAACAGACCGACAGTAGCGGGGAGAAATGCCAAGTCGCTTTTCGCTCTGCTGGTCTGGCTGTCCCAGCCTCTTCCGCCCCAAAAGGCAAGAATCTGGGAGGACAGATCAGAGCCCCCGCTTCTTACCTGAGCTTTGGCTTCGGCGTGCTGAGGACGCTGTCATCCTCCTCCATGTCAGGCCCGCTGTCACTAGGATTCTCAATGTCAAGGGTGTCGTACAGAAGGTCGAGGTCTTCTTCTACTTCCGGGATGTGATCCGTTGGATCCTGCTCCGAATCCAGAACCTGGGTGCCAGATGACAGGCAGTCACCAGGCAGGAGCCAGCCCCACCAGGACTGTGCCGCGCACAGAAATCCTCTAATTTCCCCTCCCCAAACGCCCAAGGCTTTTGGTATGACAAATCTGAGGTCCTGGTGCTTATTGGCCCCTGAAAGTGATGCAAATGGGCCCTAAATGGCAACCGTATGTAAGGAATCGACACGTACAGACGCAGGCAGGCAGGCAGCCCCCGCTCTGAACAATGGAAGCAGACATTCCTCCAGCCAATTCTAGGCACCAGGGCCTTTTAGCGCTTTCTTTAGGCAAGCTGGTATTTATTACTGAAGCTTGGGAAGCTGCATCCTCGACCCATCAAGCCTTTGGTATCCAAACCTGCATTTCCAAGTTCAACACTCGGGTGGAAAAAGCATGGGGAGCGTCTGGCTAGCCCCCTGCGTGGGGGACGCCCCCGTGCGCTTGGAGGCGGCTGTCGGGTCAGGGCCATGCTGCGCGTGAATAAACGCCTCGAAATCAGGGCTTTTCCGGTCACTCCTGCTAGCTGTCTTTGCCCATGTACTTCCTGATCCCTTTGTGAGTGGATGGGGGAGAGGGTGGACGCAGCGGCGTGTGTCCTCCGGGAGCAGGCGTGGCACAGCCCCCCGTCAGGAGATCTGGATGTCTGGGGACGGCACCTGAGGACTCCTGTTTACCCAGCATTGCCCTCAAGCGTGGAGCTGCAGGAGCCTGGAAGCTGCATGCCCCCCCGCAGAAGGCGCCTTTTGTGCTTGCTTATTTCAAGACATTGCCCTGTAATATGTTGAGGCTTCCCAAAAGTCCCTGACGAACAATCGCAGGCTCCCTGCACTGCCAGCAGTACTGATGGGAGAGACATTCAAGGACTTCGCCAGGCAGGTCTGGCTGAACTTATCTCTGTAACACCAGGACAACTGCACCTTCTTTTCCTATTGCAGTGCAAATCAGGGGAAAATATGTTGGCCTCGTTTTAACATTTTTAATCTTCCTTCTGCATAAGAAACGGGGATTGGTCTCGTAAACACCACAAAAAAATCCCACCCCTATGAAATGGACCGCTGGCACATGGTTCATTTGCAAGAAATCAGCAGCTGCCATTTCGAGCCAAAGCACGAAGGCGGAAATATGCTCTGCGTCTCTCATGAAAGTGCCCTTTGACCCGCACAAAAACGCCCAGGCCATGAGCAAGATGTGCAAATGCTGCGGGCAAAGGGCAGCTGGCTTACCTCATCGGATACTTTAAACCTCCTCAGCAGCGCTACCACCTTTTGCTTGAAGTTCTGCTGCTGTGAACGCAAGCAGAGATGTCGCTGACAGGCAGACCCACCAGCTGCGACGAACGCACACAATGAACGCTTCTCCTCAGGCAGCCCACACGACGGCCTCGTAACTCAGCTGCTGCTGCTGCCGCCTCGAGTGGCGGGGCAGAGTCCACCGCTCAGCACCTCAGTGCACCCCAAGAGCACCTCATCGTCCCCGTGCGTCCACAGGGGCCCCCCTTTTGGCAGAAGAGTCCTGCCGTGCCAGCGTTCCTCCAGCCCACCGGGCCGGCTGAGGAACGCTGGTGGTCGCAGGGCTTCCTTTTCCCCTCCCAGGAGGGTGCCCTCGGCCGGTTAGCTAGACAGCTTCAAAGCAAGAAGGGTTTTTTAGTTTTGGGGCAGGAGGAAGAGGAGGGAGAACGGCCTCTCTCTTCCTCTGCCTCGTCTGGCTCTTGCTCGCTGGAGGAAGATGTGGGGATGGCTCCGTGGTTGGAGCCCGCTGCCCATCAGCCAGGTAACCCCACTTGAATCAGGGCCGAGGAGCAATCCTAGCCGCGTTTAGACAGAAAACCCTACAACTACTGGTGTCCTGAGAGCCACAGGCCTTCTCCTCCCCATCCAAATGTGCATCAGGTTGCACCTTTAGTCCCTCGACTGTGCAGCCTTTGACAGAAAAGAAGGCATGAGAACATTCTAATGGAATAAATACAGGCATATTTGTAAAGCACATTATGCTCCAGGCAGTTCTCAACCAATCCTGGCAGAACATGCAGTATAACTGTTAAGATGGGCTTCTGATCATCTGCCGCGGTCCCGAGGGAAAATCAAACGGCCAGTTGGTCCAAATCTCCCTTCGCAAGTAAAATTCATTTCCACCAACCCTGGTGATGGACGGCGTTCTCACGATCGCTCTCCACTGCTTCTTCTGCTTCCCCAGTTCATACTCGTCGTCATCCAGCTCCTGGACAGAAAGACACATGGGCCCGCGTTGCTTTTTCATCCACAAAGAGCGGGTGAAGGGAACGGGGACCGGGAGGCCTTGTGCATCTTTCCGAGGGCTGCCAACCATTCTTTATCAGGACTTTATCATCTCTAGCCTGGCAGTTGCATTTGGATATTTCCGAACGTTTGGCTGTGAGGTTGTATCTTTCTTGTGACTTCCCAAGATATAGAGGACACAGCCTGATGGGTCAGGGTATCGTGCAAGGAGGAAGTCACGGAAGAGCAGAGCTGGAAGGGGCCAGAGGGCCACCGGGTCCACCCTCCAGCTCAGTGCAGGCTCCGCGTTAAACCATCCCTGAATGGCCCTGGTGTGGGAGAGCCCGCCACCTCCCCAGGGCTTGGGTTTCATTGCTGCACTGCCCCAGGGGCCAAGAAGTTCTTGATCTCTAGCCTGAATCTGGCTTCCTGTAATTCAAGCCTATTATTCTGTGTCCTGCACTCTGGGATGGTCAAGAGGCGATCCTGGCCGTCCTCTTTGTGAGCCTTGCGAGAACGCGAGGAGCGCTCTCCTGCTTCCCCTCCGTCGTCATTTCTCCGAGCCAAACATGTCCAGCTCACACCATCTCTCCACAGGGCACTGTTTCCAGTCCCTGGATCATCCCTGCGGCCCACCTCGGCACCCCTCCCAGCTTGTCTGCATCCTCCTCAAGGGTGGTGCCCGGAACTGGAGGCAGGGCTCCGGGTGAGGCCGCAGCAGCGCTGGGCAGAGGCGAACCAGCACTTCCTGTGACTTGGAAGCGAGACGGCTATTAATGCAGCCTTGAAGCGCATTCGCCCTTGTTGCAGCCACGCCACTTGGCCGGCTCACGTTCAGCCTGCGGCCGATTCCAAGATCCTTCTCACTTGCCGTACCGTCGAGTGGAGGATTCTCCACCTTGCAGCAGCGGTGTATTTGGATTCGTCTTCCCAGGGGCAGAGCTTGGCACTTGCCCCCACTGAATTGCACCCTGTTGTTTCAGCCCAGCGCTCCAACCTACCCAGATCGCCCCGAGTCTTGTTTCTGTCTCCGGGGGCATTAGCGGTCCCTCCCAGTTTCGTGCCACCTGCCATGTGCCCGCTTAGCGCATGTGTCATGGGACTTGCCTGTCTCTTGCAGGGAAGCCAAGAGCTTGGCAGGCCTTGGGCCAGAGGATCCAGACGGCCTCGCTGCCTGAAGCAGCTCTTCTTGCCACCGAGAGCCCAAGCGATCGCCCAGGAGCAGGAGGGTCTGCCCAGCCTGCGTCTGGCACGAGCGAAACGATCAAAGGCGGCGCCCCCCCCCTTTCCATCTGGACAGGTCACAGCCTGAGCATCCTTGGCCTTCCAGGCCTCTGCCAGAGCACCGTCTGCTCTGCTTTCTCCTTAGCGAATGCCCTTGGCAGGATCGCAAGCAAATTGGAAGGAAGATCCCCCAGGCTGCCCTAAACCCATACGTGGCCAACGGTTCTACTGGGGCAAGCCGTTTCCGTGCTTTTCTGCTTCATCTTGCGAGCCACTCCAAATCCAGAGGCTAAAGAACAGCTGATGCATGGCTTTCATAAAACAAAGCGAGCGCTGCATTTCCTTGCAAAGGGATCCAACGGCAACTACGTTAAAACCTGAGCCTGGCAAAGGATCGCACGTTTGGAAAAGGGCCTGGGAACTTTGGGAGGGTCACGAAGGCTGCCCTCCACCCACGCAGAATTCCGTGAGAAGCGAGCGGGGGCGCAGAAAGCCCCCAGTTCGCTGCAGCGAGGCAACAGGAGTTTTGCCACCGCAGAGTCGGCTGGTGGACTTTTGGGGGGCTGCGGAGACTGCAGTGGGGAACTGGAGGTGCTCAGTGCAGCCCCTGAGCAGGTGAAACGTACCTGCCCCTGAACTGCATCGTCGCTCGCTTCCTGTTCTGAAGAGAAGCTTTCGTATTCCTCTTCGGAATAGTTGTCTGAAAGAAGAAAGTCGCAGGAGCAATTCATGCAGAAAACAAGCAAGCAAGCAAGCAAGCGGCCAGCCACCCCGGCGGTGGTGGGAAGGACAGTGTGGAAAACGACACCCACGGATCGCTGACCAGTCAGGGCGCTTCAGCTGCTGGGTGGGAAATAACAGTTTACCTTCCCACCTCCTCCGGTACCTGGAGTGGGCAGCTTTGGAGCTGCAAACTCTCAGTGACTACACTTCCCTTGGTGAAATAGTCCCCAGTCCCATCACAGGATTCCTAATACTATGGTACAGTGCTGTCAACATAGACCATGCTTTAACTTATGCGAAAAGTCATCTCTCCCCCGAAGAACTTAAACATATCCATACTAATTTGGATTATTGATCTAAACTATATGATTGAGTACCTAGGAACAGCATAAAGGTTTAAATCCTGTGGGATTGCCACTTCCTGAATAGCTGCCTTCAATCTCAGGAATTTCTGGGTGTTCTGTGCTCCTGCCCAAAAGGAAGGAACAAGAGAGATGCTTTTTGCCTCTCTGTCCCCCCACACCCCCTGAAAAGACCTTTGAATGCATCTCAAGAATCCTTTGAACTTCCTTTTCTGACTTAGCCATGCTGGATTTCAGTCTGCCAACATGGGCAAGAGGCCAAATTACATCACTCCATTTCTCGGACTCATCATATTTACATCCTACTGAGCAAAATAAGGAACAAAAAACTGTATTTCAGCATTTAAAAACCACCCGTGTTTTAAAGAGGTTGCCACTGCTTGATTTCCTTGATCGTCCAGATCTATAAACTGTCAGGTGGTTCTTATCAGATTCCCTCCGTATGGTGCAGAAGGCCCTCCTTCTCATGGGGAATGGAGGACCTGGCGACCAAAGCCCTGCTCGGCTTCCCATCTGCTCAGAGTCGTCACTCTTGGTCCTTCTGGGTTCCTGAGAGCGGCTCCAGAGGAAGGGAAACATCACCCTCTCTCAAGCCATTGCTTCCATCCGCAGGTCTGTGGTCAAAAGGCGTTTGAGCTGGTTAAAGGCTTTCCTACTTGAGTCGCTGAAAGTCCTGCGAGGAAAACTGGGCAGCCTAACACATCCGAAAGGGCAGAAAAGGGACCTTCCGGTTCTCGATTACCTGCAGCCTTAGTTTTCGGGCTCATGGGCATGACGCTGTCCTCCTGGTCTATGGGCTGGCTGGACAGGGAGAAGATCCAGATCTCCGCGATCTTGGCCGAGGCCTCCTTGATGCTGCTGAAGAGGCTCAGCACCTGGTCTCCTTCTGTCGGGTGCTGCATGACCTGCAAGTGCAGACAGAAGCACACGCCGGGCTCGGATTCGGCGGCAGCCTCCCCCTCCTGCTTCACGTCCGTGTGATTCAATGCCGCTCTCGTTCCAGAACATTGGAGAACCTGGAGCCCAAGTCGCCTTCTGAGGACAGGACGCTGGAGCCCTGGCCACCCGGCCGAAGCCACCAGGCTCCCGTGCGGCTCACGGGGCTCCTGCTGTTCCACGCACACAGGCCCTCCACGGCCCTCGGCCCCCTGCCTCATGGCCGCCAGGAGGACTGCCTCCCACGCGGGCAGGGAGCGGATGGTAGGACAACCCGCTTCCCAGTGCACTCCACTGGGCAGTGCGGAAGGGGGTGGCCTGGGAAGGGATGGGGCAGGGCGTTGCCATGCCTCTGGGACAGTCCTCTGGGTGGGGGCGCAGGTTCGCTAGGTGGGAGCGCGACATCTGGGGCCTCTAAGGCGGCCTTCTGAAACGGGACTCGGTCGTGTGTGGGGCTAGCCGGACGCTGGGTTCCACCTCTGCCGAACTGCAGGCCAGAAGGAGATCCTAGCCAGAACCACCCCGGGGGAAGAAAGTCTTAAACTGACCTTCCTGCACCACGGTCCTCACTGGGCCCTCTAGTGGGTGGCTGTGCGGTTTAAAAAAGAAGAGAGAGGGCATTAAATGGCGGGAGGCTCTCACCACGCTTCCCCCCCGGGAGCCTCGCCCAGGCCTGGCAGGCCGGGCCCTCCTCTGCCTGACGAGAGGCCAGTGGCAGGCGGGGAGTCGGCGGCCCCCACCGCATCCTCCGTCGTCCTGCAGCGTCCCAGGGAAGCCACAGGAGCAGGGAGGGGAGCCAGAGTCTCCCAGCATCAGCAGGAGTGTCAGGCGGGAAGCTGGTGCTGGTGGGACGGGACGGGACGGGGCGGGGCGGGAAGCCCCTCCTTCCAAAAGAGCTGTACATTTGGGGGCTAACCATGGCTTAGCCTGCTGTCTGGATTTGCTAAACCACAGAGCAGGCCCTACGTACCGGGGGGAGGGGGGTCTCCAAACCGCATTGAAGGAAGCGAGTGGCGTGTGCCATCCGGCCCTCTGCCAAGAAGCTAAGGGGGCCAGAAAACCCGCTACTGGGGGACTCCTAGAGTCAGGGCAATGCCAAGAGCTTCCGTGGCACTTCCGTGACCGATCCTGTGCAGAAGGCCGGAAAAAGTCCATTCGCGCTGCCACGAAGTCAAATGTTCCCCAGTACAAAAGCCAGAACTGCCCCAGGGAAGGAGGGGAAGAGGCCGAGGGGGTGAAGCAGGCCTTCCCCAGATGGGCGGCTGCAGGAACGCCGAGAGCAGCGGACGCGCCACCGAGCGGAGAGTCTCGTTCCTCCCACAGAAGAAGGGAAGGGCGTGGGAAGCTGTGAGGAGCCCGCGAGGGAGGAGGCGGCCCCACACGCCTGGCTCCCATTCTGGGACTCGGGGAGCCCGCCGGGATTCGCGGGCAAGGGCGCCGCACCATTTCTCTCGAGTGAAGTGAGCCAGGATTTTGGATCAGAGGTGGGTAAGGTGGTGCTGGATTGGATTGTCGGAAGAACCTGATTTACGGTCAGATTGAGCCTGTTTATTTTCAGTTTGCGCCTGTGAGAAGAACAGCTGGGAGCGTGCCGTAAGAACAAGATGCTGCAACGAGTAGCTACGATACAATATAGAGAGAAGCATGGAAAGCAATTCCGGAGAAGTTGTTTACTTCTACTCCCAGCCCCGTCACCTACTGTTCTTGCTTTCTCTTGGAAGATCACAGCTGCCTGTCACACTGAGCACTAATAATACCTTTCATTCAGCAAGGGCCTTGATTTAGCGGATTAAATCTCCTCCCATGAGACAGTCACTGTGCTTCCAGGCTGTGAAAGCAGGTACCTACCTCTACCATGTCAATCGATCCCACTGCTAACGTTTTGTAGCCAAGAATGGTTCGATTTTTGTACCGTTTCCTCCGCTGCAGCATAATCTGAAGTTTGTTGCCTTCTCTTTTCAAGAAATGAGGATACTGCAAGTGAAACATGCCAAGATTTATGACAAAGGCAGGGGAACACAAGGGAGTTGTGTTCAGCATGGGAGTTGTCCCTATTAACAACCCCAGGCTGATAGGGACCATGGGTTGTTAACTGTGTGTGACGTGTTGTTGCCTGGGCTATTTAAGGGTTGCTCCCCACCCCAACCAACCATGCCCACTGGCTCTGGACGACACGGGAAGCTGTGCCAACAAGGGTGGCCAGCGGAATTGAGCAGCAGGAAAAATAAGACCCTATGGAGGCACTTCTGTACCTCGGCCCACAGTCTGTAACGACAGCTGGTGATCTGAGCTGAAGGTCTTTTGATCAGACTGAACAGAGTTGGAGGTTTTTTTAAACATACATACATATGGAACAAATCTAAAATACAGCATCCAATGAACGGTGAAAGCGCTGTGTTCAGTCAGCTTGATGACACTGCCAGGGTGCTTCTCCTAATAATTCAGTTCTGAAAAGTCTGCTTTCTTGAGGCTGCCTCGATAGAGGCACGGCTTCCAAATCCTGTTTTGTGCTGTTGGGCACTAGTGAGGCCCGTGCTGAATACTGAGTCCAGCTCTGGGCACCACACTTCGTGCAGGATGTGGGCCAACTGGAGGGCAGCAGAGATGTTTGGGGTCTGGAAGCAAAGCCCTGTGAGAAGAACTGGGCAAGTCCGGCTTGGAGAAGGGACTGAGAGGAGATGGGAGGGCATTTTTCAAGCTCTTGAAAGGCTGCCAGAAGAAGGAAGGGTGGGCTGCCTTCTTCCAGACCGTCCCAGAGCGCAGGACATGGAACAACAGGGTCCAGTTCCAGGAAGGTGGGCTTCAGTTGGACATGAAGGACCGCCCGGCAGTGAGAGCAGCATTTCACGGGAGCCCGTGATCCGGGGGGGCTGGGGCTCTCCCACGCGGGGGGCATTCAAGATGCTTCTGGGCAGCCCTCTGCCAGGAATGCTTTAACCTGGAGTCCTGCGCTGACAAGGAGCTTGGACTTGATGGCCTTATCAGCCCCTTCCAGCTCTACTATTCCAGGATTCTAATGCAGCTATTTCATTTATGTATTTAAATCATCTGCAGATATGGATGTCAGGTGATGGCCTAGGCACAGAGGATAACAAGCCAGGTTGCACGCGGACATTACGAACACCACAGGCGGCACCTTCGACTCCACTCTCGGGATCCATACAATCAGCTGGGACCCCCTGCTGGGCTTCCTCCTCATCTCCCCACTGTTTTCGTCCTCCGCAGTGGACAAACCTTTCCCGAAAAAGGGGCCGGCTGTGCAGGGAGGACTGGCTCAAGGAAACCAGAAACAAGCGAGCAAAGCACGGAAAAACAGAGCAGCGGAAGAGGGCAACTCCGGAGAGGCCCCCCCACCTCGCACTGCAGGGGCTGTGGGCAAGCCAAGGCAGAGCAAGGGCTGCGCTCTTCCCGGCTTCTTTTCCCACCCCCACGCAGGATCAAGGCCAGGGGATGGAGCTCTGCTCTCAGAACGTGGCGCGCGGCCCAGGCCCTCCCACTCCCCCGCCTGGGCATTCCATACCCCCCAGAAGTCACATTCCAGAAGCAAAGAATGCGCATTGCCAAGCGCGTATGTGTGGGGTGCTGCCACAGTCTCCTTTCAGAACGAAACGGCGCTCGATAGCCGCTTTCCAGCAGCTGTTGTCATAGGCAGCAAATCCTTGATCGATTCTGAACTGCCGCTCGGAACGTCGCCACAGCAATGAAGGGCGCGCGAGAAAAGGCCAAGGTGCCCATGGATGCCACCTTTCCGTCCACGCAGCTCCTCTTCCAGCACGGAACTAAGTGTGCGGCCTCTGAATGGGTGAAAGCAGCACTGCTTCCAAGAACGCGTCCTTCACCCGTTCGCTGCCCGGGGTGACGGCCATGAGCCAGGGAGGGCTTGGGGCGAGGAGGCATTCCTGGAAGTGGGGCTGTCAGCAGCTGTTTGCCATGATCTCTGGATTAGGATGTTGCTGCTGCTGCTGCCCAGAACACCTGCAGATTTTGCCTCTGCCTCACCATCGATGGATAAAAAAGATGGGCTTAGATGGTCCCCCAGTTTGAGTGGGAAGGACGATTGCATTCAACACGCATTCAGGGCTAAATTGGGGTCCTGCCTGTCCCTCTTAAGCCCAAACAAAGCTAAGCTTCAACTATTTCCAAGATTTATTGTCTATACATGTTGGGAACAACCAATTTACCGTGGGCAGCAAAATGCCTTGGTCTGGCCTGGAATCCAAGTGAGGATACACTGCAGAGAACTGTGCTTGGAGATAACCTATTTTAAAGCAAGTGAGTATCCACAGTCACAACCTTCTAGTACCTTCCAGCCCTATGATTTCATAGGGACTAGGATCAATGGATCGGGTTTTTAAATTCTTGTGTCATTCAAGCAATGTCACACATGGAGGTGCTCGCAGTAAGGGAAAAGTGGATAAAATTAGGATTTCTTACAGTACCTGCAGGGAAAAGGTCAGTGCAAGGTCTGTTTCTATACGCCCGCTAGGATGCAGTAGGATCTCATGAGACCGGAGTATTCGTTTTGAGCCCTGCAAGGGAAAGCAGCCAGACTGAGAATTCACCACGTCTGTAGAAGCACCAGGTCAGGTCCGTCTTCACGTCTTCCTGAGCTGGCCGGAAGGGCGGAGCTGAGGCAGCCATGGCCCATGGCTGGGTCACAGTGCTCTCCTGGTGGCCCCCGGGGGAGTTCGGTGCCCGGCCACCCCAAGGGAGGTTAGACGAGGCAGCACGGAGGAAGCCTTCCGGGGGGGCCCACTGTGTGCACGGCAGGAGGGGAAAGGAGTCGAGCGGGTCTGGATCCGGAGACCCCGTGGCAAGGCCAGCCTGGGAAGGGGGCAAGTGGAAGAGCGAGGTGGCGGAAAGGGAAGTAGCTAAGGCAAGAAGGGCGAGCTAAAAGGGCTGCGGGGAGGCTGGGCTAATGAACCGGGCTTCTTGCCCCGCTAAAAGGTTGTGGAGGATTCCGGCAATTTCTCTAAGTGGAAGAGTGAGCAGTGGACACCGAGCACTCCTCCTTCCAACGAAGAGACTGCGTCATTTGTACCACCACGGGGCCCATTTGCCACCCCCGCTCCTTCGCGCCACGAGAGCAGACCTATCCGCTCCACCTCACACCTCCCTTAACGGGCAAGACAAGGTACATGCACAGCTGCCTGAACAAGAGGATCTTCGCTTGTCCTTGGAAAAACGGCACGGGCGGGGCTCTAACCTGCACCGCCACGATGCGCAAGCAGCAGCTGCACAGCGCCACATGTTCCCAGAGGCCCGTGGCGAGAGGGGGCGCGCTTCCCATCGCTCACTGTGAATTCGCCTACTACGGCACAATCCCACCCCGAAGCAAGGCCCACGGACTGGGACGAGGCTTGCGTCCTGGCAGCCATCCACAGGGCCGCTGCCTCAGCTGCCGTGCTTCCAGTTTGGAGAAATACTTTGGGAGCACTTCAGACGGCTGACGGTTCTACCACCACATGCAGTTGGTATAAGCTGCAACTTTATCTACTTATCCACCCTGACTTCACATTATGAACTATCCTTGTCAGCAGCGTTTTTCTGGGAGAGCTCGGGTTCTGACTGTGCCAGAGTCAAAAGAGAAGGGCCTTACATAATGCAGCAGCAGAGACCGTGTTCTGCAAATCAAATGTTCAGGGATCTGCAGATTTAGGCTGGCATGGAAAACCAAGCGGACCATCCATGAGAAACGGCTACCACTGGCTATCAGTCCAGCCCAGAGGGATCACATGCAGAACAATGAAGTTTATTATATTTGCCATGGAAGTATATCCAGCAGTAATTGGAACAGAGACGCGAGCTGCACTGTTCCTGAGCGGGGAATCTTGCCCCCTGCAGTTACTGTGCTGGCATAATCAGCCTGGCTTTGCTTTAATATCTTTAATTGCTTGCATAATTACTGTGTTATGTGGAATCTGAAATAGCTGGTTCCCTGCTGATACAGCGAACCCCCTTCCTCCCCCTACAGTGAGAGGACATGGAGATAATCCATTCATCTTCCCTGCGATCTATGGATCTTCCTTCAGCCCTGTGCCACCTTCCGCGGCCGCTTCCAATACTTTTAGGGCTATTCCTTGGGTTGTACGCTGCTCAGGATCCACTTCTGCGCCCCCTATTTCCTGCTGGCGCCTTTGCGTGCACGGATGTGTCCCTTTTGTCCCCCCAAGGCAGCTGTGCCTGCGCCAGGGGTGCCAAGGCACCTAACCTGCAGAAAGGGCCTGGACAAGGGAGTGCTTCGCTCACGTCCTGCTGAGGGCAGAAACCACCGAGGGTTGCTTTCTCTACACGATCTATGCAGCCACTGCAACGAATGCACCCTCTTCTCCTCTTGTGCTCTTTTCACTTAACTTTTCTTTGTTACTGCGCCATTAAAACTTTCTGGCATTCACACAATTAGCTTATCACGTCTAGTCAGACTCCCTTACCTGCATTTTGACTGCAATTACCACAGAGATGAGATCTTTATCCAATTCTTTCAACACTACCAGCTTCTTCAAAGTCAAACTGCACAACCTGCAGATTAAAACAAATACCAAGAATTCAGTTAGGCTTGAAAATGAACAGAAGTTAGAACACACAGGACCAAGTGAACACACCAAGCCAGGAACAGTGAGCAAAATGCTTGTAACGGAACCTTTTAGAATGGGTACGGACAATTTTGTGCACTGAAAGCAATGTGTGTCCCATGAAATAACCCTGCATCTATCCTGCCTGCCATTTCTAACAAAAAACTGCTTTTAATACCACCAGATAGGAAGAAGCCCCTGCCTATCCTTTCAAGAGCAATTGCTCACAGACATACGTAGGGACACAAAATCTCAAGCAAATTTAATGTTGTGAGGATCTGCATCAGAAAAACAGACAACTGCAGGGGGAAAAACACGCAATACATACTTCCTTAACAAACTTATCTTATTTTACCACTGGGATGAACAACTTGTAGCCCTGCTGACATCTTGGCCTGCACTTCCTATCATCCCAAGCCAGCCTCACCGATGGTAAAGGATCACAGAGCTGAAGGCCAAAGTATGAGGCCAATCTGATCACTGCTGCCCGCACTTGCTCATCCAAATCACGGAGAACACAGGTGAAGAGCACTGCGCCAGGACTGGAACCTGCAGCACCCCACTCGCTACGTCTTCCCCGCCTGGGAAGGAGCTACGGATGAGCTGAGTCTGATTCTGCAGCCGACTGTGGATCCCCTGATCATTGTCCCACCCTGCCCACTTCTAGCTAGTCTGCTGGTCAGGATAGCATGGGGCACTTTACCAAAAGCTGTACTGCAGTCAAGATAGATTATGTCCACAGCATTCCCACAGTCCATCGGGGACGTTACCCAATGAAAAAACGAAATCAGAATTCACAGCATGCATCACCCCAAACCCTAATTCTCCCTCTCTCCAGGATACTCCCCAATAAACAGCAGAGCAGAACCTGTTACCTGGATGCTCTACTTAAATTCATGTAGCCGAAGGCTTCATTAGCATTTTGAGAAGCAGGTTCTGGTGCTGGCTCGCCAGTTCGTGATCCACTGACCTTGCCAAGCAAGGCTTCCCACGCCCTGTCTTGGATGCATTTGTTGTAGCTAATTGCACATAATTAATCTTTGTTGAATGTCATCGTGTTAGCTTAAGCTAATGGGGAGAACGTTGCTTTGATTTATGCTGCTTTGGAACCTGTTAAGCCCTAATAAAAGGGATGGTTCTTTCAAGGAGAGAGAAGTCGGAGTCTGCTGGAGAGGGAAAAGTAGGGAGCGAATAGATCTGCTCCCGACAGCTGGCCTTGAAATGCCATGGGAATACTGTTAAAGCCTATAGCAACTTTCACCCACTAAAACATAGTTTTGAAGATTGTACTCGTTAAGCTTTTGCTGTGAGATTCCTGGCAATGAAAACCTCTTGCTGAGATGGCGCCTCCCCTGGGTTGGGTTGCCAGAATTATGGCCTGAAGAATCGAGAGTCTTACGAGCTTCTCGACAGTATCTTGGACACGTGCTCTAGAAGGCAACAGACCCCCTGTCCCTCTCAGCACAGCATTTCCCACCACAACCAGTTCTCTGCTGGTTCCTGGGCTGGTGGCTGAATCCCTCCCACCCATCTTGGCCTTTCTTCTCTAGATGAGGAGTCCTCCCATCCTCAGCTGGCCCAAGACTACCACATAAAAGCATCCGAGCACTGGCTGTGGGGTTTCAGTGGTACAGCCTGATTCCAGATTCTGTAGTTCTATGGATCACACTGTTTCCCTTCTCCTGGTAAAACTCCCCCTTCCGGTGCTCTTTTTCACTCCTGCAATAAGCTGAGGAGCACCTCACGCCCTTCAGGCTTTTCTTCCTGGACATGCCGGCAGTGTGCGTTCCAGGTGGGTGCAGGTCACACTCTCCTCCAGCAGGAGACCCAACGTGGCCCACGTCCAGCCGGCCACTGGAACAGCTGTTGGTGCCCGTGATTTCCCTGGACTGCCCTCAACACAAAATCCCCCTTTGCTTGCTCTCAAGGAGAGAGAGACTTGCTAGGGAATTCATCTGCCCTTGCCATCTCAAGCAGGAAAACACCATTCACCTCTCCCAGCTGGCCAGGGGATCTGTCCCGAAAATATCACCCCGTCCTCCTGCCCAGATGTTTTTAACAGGGCCCTGATTCTCAGAGTCATGGCTTTCTGTTTGCTTGGCAAAGAGATTTATCTGGGAAGGGGATTCCCTGGGCTGGAGAGGGAGAGGGGGTGCTGGCGGTCCTGATGACGTCCTGCTCCGAATCAGGGATCAGGTCAGGTCTCTCAGGAAAGGAGGTGAAAGGAGATCAGCACCATGGAGAGCTCCGCGCCAGGTCCGTGCAGCTTCATTAAGGATCGGAGCAAGACTTTTTTAGGCAGGCCTCTCGCTGGGTTTAGGCAGGCTGGCCCCACCTCCATGCTCTGGGCTGGAGCACTGCAGAGAGTTACGTGTGGGGCTGCCTTTGAAGACGGTCTGGAAACTTCAGCTGGTCAAAAACAGGGCGGCAAGGTTCCCCCACCCCCCGCCAAAGGGCTAATATGACCAATGTGATCGTATTAGACTCACACTTTACCATCTGCATGAGTGGCAAGTCTATTTTTGGGCATGATTTAATCCACAGTGTTAAAATTAACATCCAGAGTTCTTCACAGTTTAAGGCCACGTTTATTTTCCCAGGAATTTTAGTATTCCCACTTCTGTTCTTTTAAATCCTTTACTGCATGGCCTCTAGGTTTTTACTTTGGCTTTTACTTCCATTTTATACTGTAGCTTTAAAATTTAGGATGCATTTTATGTTTTCACTAATGGTTTTAGTTGGGAACTGCCCGGAGAGCTTTGGCTATTAGGTGGCACCAAAATGTAATGCATCCATACATGTATTGTACTGCTTTAGCGATCTCGGGCTGTGCTAACATGGGCTTGGCTATGGCATGCCCATTTTTTCAGGGCCTTAGTCCTCAGAGATAGTGAGGCAGCCAATCTAGAAGCAAAGAAACTGGTGGTTTGCTAGAAAACTTGTCCTGGGAAGACTGAAGTCACAAGACCCTTTTCCATGGCTCGAACCCAGACCCTGCTAAATCAATAACTCTGCAGCCTCTTTCTCTAATTTTCTGGGGATGATAGTTCAGGGTCCTGGCCCAGGACAGCGCAAGAATGACCGAAAGCAGACTGCCAGTGTGATAAAATGTTAAGAGGGCTGCCCGGGGACTCTAGGAATCTGGGCTCTGGTCCCCATTTTGCTATGAAACTCACTTTAGGCCAGTCACAGACTTTCAGCCTAAACTACCTCACAGGCTGGATTGCTGTGATGATCAAACGGAGTGGAGGAAACCAGAGCAAGCTGTCTTGGCTTCCTTGCAAAAGAAAAAGGCAGGGTAAAAATGATGTAAAAACACAACCATCCTGACAAATGAAGACCCCAAGAAGAAAAAGGTTCTCTACTCCAAATGTAGAAGATGTTCCCTTATTTTTGGTTGGCCCTAATTCACTTCCAATTACCACTCAACCGACCCAGTTTGCTATGTTAAATAATATTAACTAAATTGCTATAGATTATGTATATTATTCTTGTATGCAATGTTCAATCTAACAGTTTTCAGCTCACTCTTGTGCACTCTACTCCTTCCTAGTCATTAATTTAAGGTTGGTTTTTTTAAAATACTAAGCTCATACGACACACAAAAGTAGCGCTGGCTGTATCTTCAAGAATGTCCATTTACAATTTCCTGATCTCCTTCAACTGTACCTTACTTCTCCTTCCATCATATCTCAGCATCCTAGCTAAACAAATAAAATAAGCACAACCTTTTAACGACACATTAAATGCCTCAATTTAGGCTGCTAGCGGAATTCCACTAATTGCAGATTCAGGATACATGCAACCGAGTTCTTCAAAGTGTTTCTCAAACGTGCCCGCCAACCCTTTGAACAAGCCATTCAAGGTTAAATATACTGGGGGACACATTTGGGAGAACACTGTTAGAAGTTCTGTATTAGCAGATTTACACATTGCCGTACGGGCTTTCAAGCTCAAGCAGTGTGCCCCAGTTTCAGGGAACAAACAACTCAAGCAGAAGCTGTAACACAGGATGAAAAGGGAAAGACAGTTTGTTAAAACAAGCAAACATCTAGACGGAACAGTGTGGCCCTTTGTTTTTATCGAGAAAGCTCCATGCCTGGGATGAGCTCATGAGAAGAGCAGTCACAAGTATCCAGGCGGAGAAAAGAAAGACAGGGTGATGGCGGAACAAAGATTCCCTCAAGGGTCGCGTAAAGGGGGCAGCAGGAAGTGGGGGTCAAAGAACCCCGAAAGGAGGCATCCCTGTCCCTCCGGGGTCAGTGCCCCAGCAGGCAACCAGGGCAGCCAACGCCAAGGCCCTGCTCCCAACAGGCCAGTGCTGGGTTCAGGACAGAGCCCGACAAGCTTCCAGGGCGACAAGCCGTTACTGAGGGTCCCCCTGACTGCAGCCCCTGCCCGTCCGCCTCGGATCGGCCTGAAAACCTTCCCGAAAACCAGGCTGCAGCTGCATCCGCGGCATGCGGTCCTGGCCAAAGGGCAAAGCCGGGGAGCCGGGCGTGACTTGCTTTCCGCTGTCCCCGCATCCGCCTTCCTCCTGAGACGCCCCAGGATGCCTGAGCCGCTGGCGTCGCCGGCGGGCCCGGAGCCCCTGGCGGCCCCTTCCGAGGGGCGCCCGCCCCGCGCGTCGCCCGGGCACGGCCAGGCCCTGCGCCTGCAGGGGCCCGGGCCCCCAGGGAAGGCGCCCGGGCCCGGCTCCTGCAGCCCGCAAGCGGGGGGCTCGGCCTCGGGCGCCCGGAGGCGCGATGGGGGGCAGGGGAGGGGAGGGGGAGGGCGCCCCCTTCCCCCTCGGAGCCGGGGGGCAGCCCGCGGGCCCGTCTCCGCCACCCACCCACTCACCGCGGGACGCAGCTGGGGCTGGAGCCGTCGATCTCCCAGGCCGCGAACAGGTTCATGGGCCCCGGGCTGCTGGCGGCGCCCGGCCCGCTGGGGGGCCCGCCGGAGCGGCCGGCCACGGCGGAGGCCGCCATGGCTGCAGCGCGGCCGCCCGCTCGGGCCCTCCG